GCTTCAGTCTCTACCAGCCCACCACCAACCACACCAGAAGGACCAAAAGAGTAAGCACCATGGGCCAACTGAAATATTAGGCACCTGCCTTTTCCCAGAGACTCTTGCTGCATTTCTGGCTGTGGGTTCTGATGTCCAGCCATGGAGCTCAAAAGCTGCTCTCTGTACATGGCCCCCTGGAAGTTAAATATGTGCACTGTACACTACCTTTCTTGTGAGAACTTGCAGGTACACTTAGGTGTCTTCACAGAAGCACATGAAGATATATACAACACTTAACCTTTTGTTTTCAAGAACCATTCCCAAATATGTCCCTAACCACAAATACAAATTCAGAAAGGTTTAAATTATTCACAGCATCACAAATTGTTTTGCCCTAGCATGCATATACAATTTTAATGCCGTATTCACATCTTTCACACTGTCTTGTAGTTTCCTTTAGTGGGTCACTTCTTACATCTGTAATGTTTCATAAGCATTTTTATATCGGGAAAACACCCACTCCAAGCTTTCAGGCATAGGATTTTTCTTCTAATAAGGCAGCAAAGGCTTGGGTGGAAGCATGGGGATCCAAATGTGAGAATCCCCTGAGTCTGTTATACAGTGCTACCTCGGGTTAAGTACTTAATGCATTCTGGAGGTCCGTACTTAACCTGAAACTGTTCTTAACCTGAAGCACCACTTTAGCTAATGGGGCCTCCTGCTGCCACCGCGCCGCCGGAGCACGGTTTCTGTTCTCATCCTGAAGCAAAGTTCTTAACCTGAAGCACTATTTCTGGGTTAGCGGAGTCTGTAACCTGAAGTGTATGTAACCTGAAGTGTATGTAACCTGAAGTGTATGTAACCCGAGGTATCACTGTAGATATACCTAGAACATCTGTCCAGTAATGAAAAATAGGACATCTATGTTCTTTAACTACCATGCTACTCCTTATAGGGTATTAATCTTTCAAAGTTCTAAGTATACATAGCTTGTCATCAAAGCACTTTCATAAGCCTGAACTGAAGAACAGGACTTTTAACAGAACAGCAATCTATTCGTAGCATCCTTATTGGCAGCTAAAGGTAAGAGAATCAACTACAGACAGAAGCAGACATTTCATGTTCACTTCACTGATGTATTCTGTTGAGGAGACAAGCACAAAATTCCTTGCCATCCTTCTCTTACACACACACCCACACCCCCCCCTGCATCTCTCTCTCTCTGACACCACCCACATATGTTTCTTTGTTTTTTGTTGTTGTTCTCCTTGTTGCGTATTTACACAAAGATAAAATTCAGACTCACCTAGGTATATGTTTATGTATGGGGTGGGGGAAATAGAAGAATTCCTGCTGCTTTGTTTGTTTTCTTCAAACACCCTTTTGTAGATGTGTGGAGTGGAGAGCAGAAGGGGCCGTGGGACCGTGTTGGGCACCCTCCGCTTAAAACAAGATGCAAAGGGATGAAAAAGAGTGCCAATCAAAAGATGCCATTTGAAGTTTTCTGTGGCAGCTTCCAGTGCTGTATGGAGGGTCCTTTTTGGTTTTGTTTTGTTCTTTCCGCACTTTTCATGTTTAGTCTAAGGTCTAGCTCACCTAGCTCTTTCCCCAGCGCACCACCTTGCAATCCCCAGGACTGTGCTTCAGAAAAACAAAGATAGCAAAGGGAGCCTTTGGCATCATTTTCTTGTTTTACCTCCAGCTGGGGATTTTCTCCCCCTCCTATTTACAACTTTGAAGCCTCTGTTTATCAGTCTTTTCTTCTTCACCCACCACAGATTTCCAGGAGCTTGGCATTTTTATCTGTCCCTTAGTTGAAGAGACTTGTTTTAAATTACACACACACACATCCAAAGATCAGTAGAGAGTGGCAGATGGTAAATGAGTAAAAGGGTTGGACGTGCTGGAAGGCAACAGGCAACAGGGAAAATGGAAAACAAGAATGACTGGGGAGGCAGGAAACGCAAGGAGGATCAGGCAAGCCAGAAATGAAGAGAGATGGAGAGTGGTAGGGATATGGAGCTGAGAAAAGAAGGAAGCTTGAGAGACTGAGCATGAGATGGTTAAAACTGCATCAGTGCTGTTGCGTTCCTGCTTTAGGAGATATACAAGAGGAGCACTTCCAGGTTATGGCTAGAAAGCATTGCCTGACAGCCAAATGACCACATCTCTCTTGCTTTCTTTACACCTTCATGATTTTCCATGAGTTTAAGGGTCCACAAGGACACACTGCTGGCCCCACTCCAGATACCATGCAACTCACATTCCCCTATGTGTTACGTTTAGGTGCAGGTCAGTGTCCACAGTCAGCACCCTTGAGGGATTTGGTTCAAGTGGCAGCCTATTTGCACCAAGGTGCACAGGCATCCAGCTGGCAAACATCCAATCTCAATGCATGGACCTTGAGGGCAGGGCTAAGGAAGCTATGTGAGGCTGGAGACAGCAGACAGCATCAGGGCTCCCCTAGCCCCTTGCACTTGCAGAGTATGCTTTGTGCACTCAACATTCAAAAACAGTTTATGCTTTTGCTGTATGTGTAGGCAGCAAAATATATCTTTGTATATTATTTCTACTGGAAATGGAAGCTACCTATTCTGTTCGTTCAGAAGGTAGAGCGGGCTACAAAATCCCAATAAATGAATCAAAGAATAATAGTCCCAGGTTTCAAAGAAGCATCAAGTGCTCTAGGCACAAAAGCAGACAGGGTAAAAATTGCTGTGTTAACAATTGTTCTGTCAAAGCAATAAGACACAGCTGAGTGCATGCTGCGTAAGCGAGCTCCATGCCACCAACGGTTTTAGACATCTCATTCTTATGCATAACCAGCAATGAGCAGAGTGGCAAAGAGGTCTGGCTCTGGCTGGTTCTTTGAAGGCTCCCTTTTATGGGCTGGCAAGCCAGCTTCCCCAGTCCACAGCATTAGCTGTGATGCTTCAGAGCTTATAGTCTAGGCCCATCACGCCCACCTTACTCCCTCTAGCTGGACTTGCTAGTGTTCTTTCCAGTTTATGTCTTTTCCATGCACATCTTCTGGGCAGAAATTACCACAGCTCTCACAGCTGATATATTTCTCCTGCAGCCTTGTATTGAAAGCCCACTTCCCAAGGTTCAATGGACAAAAGAGCACACACTCTGGAGCACATATTGAGTAGATATAGACATACTATGTGCAAAGGTAAAGACATACTTATGAACCCTCATTGATACTCTGACCCTGTAGAATCCTTCTGACTCACCTTTAATGCTTTCACCTAGGGGTATTTGTTTTGTCATTTGTGAATCGTTGTCCAAGTATATACAAGGAACGCGATTGGAAGTTTTTACAACAAGCCAAAATTATATCCATGTGCAGAGTTGATATTTTGCACTCTACCACTAAAAGAGTTATCATAAAATCCAAGACTTTGAGGTCATTCAAAGACAGCCCAAATGAAGTATTATTTGATGACCTGGGAAATCCTTAGCTTTAAAAAGGAGAATAATGCACACAGTTCTCAGATAAAAATTCTGATGCTGTCATCCATGCCTAAGAGTTCGCATTGACCAAGTGGTTCTGAGTGGTGCAGATCGATTTCTCAGTTGTTTTAATAAGATCCTCTGCTTCTTGCCTTGGTATAACCACCATTCAGAAAGGAGGAGGAAAAAGGGTGTGGGGTGGCAGTTCTCTTTTGCAGGAGGGAAGACAGACAGAGGAAATCAATTGGTTTGTTACTGACTATGTTCAGCACAACAGCATGATGGAGCCTAAGAGTTGCTTGGGGGACAAGGGTATATTGCTTGCCGTGCAAGCATTTGAAAGGCAATTAAAGCAGAACAACCAGCCAGCCTTCGTATTCTCCAATGACTCTGGGAACAAAATGTTCGCACTTGCTGAACCATATCCATGCACCATAGCAAAGGGAATATGGAGTAGAAGGGAGCATAAAAAATGGGTTGAAGACCTGCTGCAGTCCCTAGTGACAGTGATATGCTTGAAAGGTTTCTTAACAACTGTTGACTCCCAGATTTTAGTTAAGCTCCTTGGTTTTGGGTACAACAACCCAGTTTTGTTTTGTTTTTTAATTTTAAAAAAGGTCTTTATAAATCCAGGTCAGTTAACTGAGCACAATGATGAGTTTATAAAATAAATTTGAAACCACTTAAGATTTGTATTCGGACTTTAGTTTATACCATTTGCAAATAATGGTATAAATGGTAAAAATCACAGGGTTAACTTATGCTACCCCCAGACCTGCAAATATTTGGGCAAGTAGCTGAATGGATGGTATCATAACTTATGGAGTTCGTTTGGCTCAAACATGCATTGTGGACTTTGGATTGTTTGTGCCCATGGAGAGATACGAAACTGCCTTACTGCAGACCAGACAATTTGTCCTTCCACTGTCACTGGCAGAATTTTTCAAGGGATGGGCAAAGCAAGGGAGTGATCAACAATAGTGTGAGGAGTTGGGATTAGAAGATTGCATACAGGGGAGTCTTTGGACACTGACCCATGTTTACATTTCTGCTCTGGTGGTATAATATCTGATCTAACAGTACAAAAAGAGAACTGTGGATTTGGTGCTGCTGTGTTACATCATTTGGCAATTTCCCTAGTTGATATGCATGTTTTGGTGTATAAAAAAAAGTCTGCAGGCCCAAGATGATGTGGAAGAACAGAGCGATTGGCAAAGCACAGAAGAAATGAATCCATAGAAAATATTGGAGTATTCAAGAGAAAAACAGAAGTGTGAGAGAAGAAAATTGTAAAGTGAAAGGTGATGCAGAGCAGACTGGAAGGCTGATTAAGAGAAATGAATGGGAGAAAGAGAGGGAAAGAGATAAAACGGAACAGTGGGGGCGGGGGAGTCCAGAAAGAGATAAAGCAAAGAGGAACGAAGCAGAGAAAATAAATCAAATAAGTGATTCCAAAGACTGACAGAAAAGAAGTTCTGCTAGAGGGACCCATGTGTCTCTAGTGAGCAGATAAGCACCCTGTTCTGCCATGCACCACTTATCAGTGTTGTTGAATACACAAAGCAGTGCCATCCCAGAAGAACGGTTAAAAGGACTTTAGTTTTAGGCACTATTCTTCTTGAAACTCTGGGAGTTGGGATTTTGTTAGGAACTTTGTCAGGGTGTACTCATGAGAGTTGCAGAATTTGCTGTCGTGCCTTTGCTCTGCCATACCTAAGGGAGCCGTGGATTGTATTAAAGTGACTTGGTTGCATAGTCCTTGTGAGAATTTTGTAATGCTACAAGAGATGCAGTTGAATGAATGTGCTGGGAACACAAAGCGCAGCAACAGAGAAGGATGTCATCTTCATCCCTAGAATGGCTTCATTTTCCACTGGGAAAAGAAGAGAAAAAGAATGTGGCTGAATGTAGAAATTTCTGAAGAAGAGGAGGTAAGAGTGAAATTTAGACCTGCAGTAACTACGGTAGGTTCAGTAGGAAACAAATTCCTTTTGTTTAAGTCTAATACAAACATCTATAGACTTAACCTATAAGAATTAAAATAACTATTCATGCTTTGTTACTGTGATTAAAAATGCCTGTCTTCCAGCTGCTTCTCCATTCAAAAAAAGTCTCATTCTCACCAGACTTTTGTTACATGCATATGCATGTCAAGTAGTGTAGTTGTGGCAGGGCTGGCCCTGCTATTAGGCAGTGTGAGGCAGTGGCAAGATGTTCGGCAACAGAGTTGTATAGAATATGTGGTCGGCTCCTGTGCCCCTAAAAGCTAGCCTGCTGCTCTCGGGTGCAATTCGGGATGCTGCCCCATCAGCAAAGATTCAACTGCAAGCTTGGTTGGAAGGATGATACATCTTGTCCTTCAGCTTAGGCAAACAAATAAGAACAAATGCTCAGCAAAAACTGGACATCCACATAAGCTTTGTGCATTCAAATGCTCAATAAACAGCTTGTCTGGAGGAGCCGAGAGAGAGAGAGAGAGAGAGAGAGAGAGAGAGAGAGAGAGAGAGAGATCCTAACCACAGATCTCCTGTATTTTGTATGACCCTAATTTGCAAACTGAATGGAGACTGGGGCCAGATGGGGATTGGGGAGAAAAATGTAGGCTCCTCTTTCCCCCCTCTTCTCCAGGTTATTCACACGATGTGATTCAGGTACATCAGAAAAGGAGACTATTCCTCCATGTGACTAACAGTACTATAACAACCAAGGACACTTAAAAACTGACACCATAATTCTCTCCTTTCCTGTTCCAGAGCTTATGGGAGGGCCCCACATCAGTCCCCGAAATGAGGCGCGCCAGGAAGGTGGGTGGAAATGCTGCCAGGAGGCCAGCAGGCCAGTGGGCCAAAGCTTAATAGGAAAACAGCAGCGATTTGTCTCCACCACTATTTACGTTTCAAGCACATGACAGGCTGTCAGTGGAAGAGAAAGCTGCTAAATTTACTGCCTTCTAGATCCCTGCCACAGTCACACACTTGACAAGTCACTTCATTTTAAAGCCTGTCTTTTACCAGGCTTCTCTCCCCGTCCCTGCTTCTCAAATACAGACAACAAACATGCTGCCAGTGGGCGTGGAAGGAGGGTTTTAAAAATGCATTTAAACTACCCTTCTAATTGCTGTGTGAGTTTCTGTGGAAAGTCCCATAAAGCCTTTGTGAGACACGGTTCACTTCTGTGACCCTTGCTTGTAGTGGTTTGCTTGAGAAAAGTAAATGGAATCTGTGCATGAATGGGGAAAGGGCCGGACTCTAATGGCAGTTGATAAAACAGTGAGGCAGACCAGGTGTGTGAAAGAGGTGACTGATATATGCAAAGAATGAGAGCTTTGTATTCATGCCAAAGGTGGAGAGCCAGGAGCTGAGTGAAGCCCTTAATGCACCTCTGTCTTGCCCTTGGGACTGTCACTGGGCCACATCTTCACCCTGGGAGCCACAGAAGGGGATGGCTGATAGGACCAGAGAGGAGACAGGAGGCAGCATCCTCACAAATTTCTTGCCTCCCTCGTCACTAGGATACTTAAAAGGTGTGTCCCTGGTAGGGATGTCAGACAATTCTGTCAGTAATGGAAATGGAGAGGGTAATTGCTGATGTTGGCTTGTTCAACCCATGTCTGGTACAGAAATCAATCCAGCAAATACAGCCAGCAGTCACTATTGTTGTGGCTTTCAATCCACAAATGATATGTAACAGATGTGCTTTTTCTCCCATTTGCATTGCGTTTCCTTTGCATTGAAATGAACAGAGTGGAATAACATAATAACAATGTTATTACCTAATGTATGTCAATTTGCCACAGAGGAAAGCAAGCTAAATATCTTGGGTTTGGAGGGAAGACAAACTGCAGAAGAATGGAAACAGTGCTGCATGTGAGAAATACAGGGTGGGAGGGCAAAAAATCCTTCTTAAATCCCTAGTCCCAGCTAAAGGCGGCAACTATATCACCTAGAAGAAAAATACATATTAATATGCATAGTATAAAGTGAGTATGTTATACTTCTATTTACATGCTTCATTTTTTATACCACTGTTTTATTCCAAACTGCTTTATAGCAGTTTTATAGCACTTTATAGCACTGTTTAATTTTACCAGTCACTTATATATGATGTAGCATACAAGGCAAGGCAAGGTAAAGAATTTCAGGGGGAAAACACAGTATTTAAATGGTAGCAATAAGGTAAAAAAGATATCGCTAGTATAACTTCTTGGAAAATAGCACTGAAAACCAATTGAAAATGCCCATTCCCCATTCTTGGTCCCCCGCTAACTGTACTATTGTTTTAAAACCATGGATAGCACTGTGGATCTTAAGCACTCTTCCATTTGTATTCACTTGGAAGACCATTTTCTTTTGAAGATTGGAAAGTGAAGCCCAAGGGATTTTGATAGATTCCAAGCAAATACAGCAGAAGAGTCCCAAAGAGAGACAATTCTTGTAGGCTCTTCTGCCAGCCTTCTTTCATTCCAGCATACATACATGTATTGGGTCTCAGTACTCTCCGCGGGTGGCTCTGTGGGTAAAACCTCAGCGCCTAGGACTTGCCGATCGCATGGTCGACGGTTCTAATCCCCGCGGCGGGGTGCGCTCCCGTTGCTCGGTCCCAGCGCCTGCCAACCTAGCAGTTCGAAAGCACCCTTGGGTGCAAGTAGATAAATAGGGACCGCTTACTAGCGGGAAGGTAAACGGCGTTTTCGTGTGCGGCTCTGGCTCGCCAGAGTGGCTTCGTCATGCTGGCCACGTGACCCGGAAGTATCTTTGGACAGTGCTGGCTCCCAGCCTATAGAGTGAGATGAGCGCACAACCCCAGAGTCTGTCAAGACTACCCGTACGGGCAGGGGTACCTTTACCTTTACCTTTTTACTCTCCCTAGTACACATACAGGTAACCCTGATCACTCTTCTGCCCACCCCTACCCCACAAGATACAACACGCTTTCCAACACACAAACATACATGTAAGATTCCCAACTCTGACTGTGATGGATCCTGCTGAGTATGCCTCAATTTGTAGGGCTGATACACTCACTTGTTTCTCTGATGATCTTGGACAAAGGTCCTTGTAGTTTATATGATTAAATGAATCATCTATCAATATGTTATCTCAGACAGTGAATAATGACAAAGGCTGTAAATCCTCATGCTTCAGAGCTTCAGCTCATCACTAGCTGCCTGGGCTGGAGTGACATACATCTTTGCCCTTTGCCATCTTTCATGGTGGATAGCATGGTATAATAAAGGCAGTGTACATTCAGGACTTTCTTGTCTGCTGGCACAACTGGACAAATAACACTAACTTGGGGGGAAACCACTGCTTTCGAACTGAGAGGGGAATAAGAAGAAATTTAACAATTTTCCTACCGTACTTTCCTTTTCCCCCTCATTCAACTTTCCACTATCATTTTCAATGACATATTTGCAATGTTGCCCTTCTATTGCTCATTCATAGAGACAGGACACATATGGGCATGGATGATGCCATTGGGATAATGGATATGGGTTAACTTTGAAGTTAACATTGTATGTGTTTTGAGATCTCTCTCTATATATCTGTACAGTGGTACCTCTAAGTTATGAACGTAATTCGTTCCAGAGGTCCATTCTTAACCTGAAACTGTTCTTAACTAGAGGCGTGCTTTCGCTAATGGGGCCTCTTGCTGCTGCTGCGCTGCCGGCACACAATTTCCTTTCTCATCCTGGGGCAAAGTTCTCAACTCAAGGTAACTCTTCCAGTTTAGCGGAGTTTGTAACTTGAAGCGTTTGAAACCTGAGGCATTTGTAACTCGAGGTACCGCTGTATATCTTATGCACCCTGCTATGCATATTTTTCAAAGTCAAGTTTAGATGTATATATAAATATCCCAGAGAAGTCAAAAGGGTGGAAAATGATAGGGCTTTTGTGTAAGGCAAGGCTTCTATCTGGTACAGGGTGGTTGCGTCTTGAGGCCTAACATCTTTTCTCTTTTACAGTTTAAAGTCCGATCTCCTTCACGTGCAGTTTAGCAACTCAGAGGGCCTTCTAAATCTACTTGCTAATAGGCAGACTACTGACCAAATGGACATTGTTGGTGTGTCTCACTATTGCTGATTTCTAGGGAGCATCCATAAGGAGAATCCTCCTTCAGATTGTTGCAAACGGACTATGTATATACCATTCTTGAACTTCCGTTGCAATAGGGGAGCCAGAGGATGAACTGATGGCATTCTTATTTAGGCGGCATCACTACTTACTATGTGTAAGGCAGGTTACACAGGCCAAGAGCTTTGCTCTTCAGTGGGGATAAATGTCCCCATGAAGTTGCAGTAGCCAGAATTGTGTCCTTCACAAGCCAGCACTTGACCAAAAAGTGCAAGGCTAACGTTCTTAAATAGCTTTAAAAAACGGGCAAGTGAAGTGAGAGCAAAATTAGTACTCCTGACTGTTCATCAAACACCAAAATAACTATAAAAATGCCCTTCCCCCAATCACTTAATTTCTTATTTCCAAGTTGCTGTCAAAACTGCTGGCCTTGTGCTTCTGAGTCCAAAATCCAAATAGGATGCTGGGTTTGATTAAAAACAACTTTCTGGCTTAGAGGTTATGCCAATATCCTGGTGCGATTTTCTGCCATAAATCTCAGCAGTTTGCAGTTTCAGGAGAGGTGGAGCAAGAGGCATTATATACATTAAAAATGGCAAAAATTTACCAACAGATTGTATCTTTCCACTCTGCTTTGTAGACTAGTTTCTCAGGCAATTTTTAGCAAATGCAGTCTTGCTCCTGCAGCGAGTCAGGGGAAAGAGTGAGTGAGGAAGATAAGAGCGTGGAAAAGACCAGGAAACTGGAAGGAGGGGAAGGAAAATAACAACAAAAAAAGATTAAGAAAGGTAGAGAAACAGAGGGCTAATATAAACAGAGACAACAACCTAAAAGCCATATGGGGTGTGTGTGTGGTGGGGAGGAGGAAAAATATGAAGAAAGGAGACTGCATGAGAACAAGGAAAAAGTCAACAGAAAGAGTGCCAGTGATAAACAGACATACATAGATAAGTGGGAACGGCAAGAAAATGTTGCAGCACAGAGTGCTCCTGTCTGTTGCTCCAGTCAATCAGTCAGCCATGACCACCACTGTGATGCTTTCTTTCATTTCCCCTCCCACAGTTTCCCCTCTTTTGTGTCAATGCTGTTTTGGCCACATAAGTGCCTACCCTTCACATCTGAACTTGAAAACGGAGGGAATGATTATAAGGGCTTTGCATCCCAATCAGCTAGGAAAATACAATATGAACAGCAATTCTATACATATTTACATGCAAGTGTCCTATTGAGCTCACTGCAGCTCACACACAGGAAAATGTGCATTGAACTCAGTGGGATTTACTTCTGAGAAAACATGCACAGAATCGGGCTGTATGGCTCCAGTCTTAAGCACACTCAGCCAGAACATAACTATGTTTACTTGCTTCATTGGTTTCAACTGCACTTCTTTTCAAGTAACTGCACTGGCTTGTACCATTAGTGTTCCTCTGCAAAATGCATTTGGTTTCAAATGTCATGGCTTCCAGCCAGAAAACTAGGGTGGCCTTGTGCCCTTCTTTACAGAGGTCAGACCTCTGTCTGAAGGACTGTACAGTCCAAGTCAAGTTAAAAGATAAAGAACCATGGGAAGGGAGAACTTGTCCATTAACAGTTAGCACTTTGTTAGCAAAGTGAGCAGGCATATAGGTCATCTGGTCACAGACTTCTCTGCTTCGGTGTGGTGTTTTGTATTTTTATTTCAGTTGCTTCTGAATAAGGAAGAGCTGGGTTGTTAGGCTGCAATCCTAACCATAGGGAAATAATTCCCATTGCACTACTAATATGCGACTTGCTTCTGGGTAAACATAACTGAGCTGTCACCAACACATAATCTCACCAAAAGCAGGTTCAGCTGACAGATATTTGTGCTATGGTAATGTGAGGATACAGAAAGAAATAGATCTTTGGTTCCTACACTGTGACCATTAGCAATTTGATCTGCAGACAGAAAAATGTCTCACTGTAGACCTATAGGCTGGTGACAAGAGTGATGTCTTGATGCTTAGCCACTAAGGGCCAAACTATATATTATGCTAAATGCATAGATGGCTAC